CAGCACTCAACCTTTTTGTTTTTATGAAGCAGCCTGGAGCGACATTTTGACTTTGCGTGTCCGTCGTTATTGTTTCACAGCCAAAAACGGTCACACTGCGTTTATCTACGAACTGTGCTTTTCATAAACGACACCGAGTCCGGAGAGGAAACTCATTCATTATTGATAAGATGATCCATTTGCTTCAGTAAACACGGACTTTTATCGGCCAACCCTTATTTGCATAGACACTTGAGCTGCTTGTGAGAGATGATTAAAACAAAAAAAGAAAAGAAAAGAAAAGAAAAGAGAAAAATGTGACAGAAGCGCACGATCCTTTGACAAGAAGCAGCAGCCTTTGAATTAAGAGAGCAAGACGTCTCGGCTGAGTTTTGGTTGCAGCGGTTTGACGCGCCGACTGGGAGTCAATTTGTGTTTAGCCATCTGTTTTAATGCGACCGAGCAGCTTGTTGTGGAGGCTTTTATTTGACTACAGGTCAGGGTCTGGGAGGGAGGAGGGAGGGAGGGAAAGGACTACTGGGCATGCAAACAGGAGCATTTGCATGCAAAGGTAGAGGAAAGGACGTCCAGCTGTGCAGGTGTGTGTGTTTGAAGTCTGGAATAATGAACTTTGCTGCAGTTTGAGTGAAGCCTCCTTCACAGTAATGTAAATATATGCTCGAGGAAAAGGAGGCAACATAAAGCTTCCAAATACATATTTATACGACCGCATTGTATATTTATACAACCGCCCAAACTCTGGGAAACTTCGTCAGCGGCTGCGATGATTCAATAAATGCTCGTATGTGGGACGTTTTTAAGACCTCCAATGAAAATAGCGATAATAAAAAAATGATATCACAGAAGCTCAGCAAGCAAAGCCAGCCTCCCGGGTCTCTAATCGTGTTTAAAAATTCAGTTTTTCGACTTTGCCATGAACCGAGAGAGGTGAGATATTGCACAAAATGTGTTTGTAAGGTGGTAGAATGAGGCTAGCTTTAAAAAAAAATGTGATTTCAGTTTTTCTAATTGTTCTTTTTAGTGTTTTATTGTTATTGCAGAATAGTCGCTTTGCATTTTACTGCACATGCTGTGAGGGCATGTGACGAACACAAAAAATCTTGATCAATATTTGCAATGTCGATGAAACTCCTCCACCTCCTACAGACACATACATGAAATGATTTCACCATCATCCTGGACATACAACACAGATCTGAACCTGTTTTAACAGACATCATGTGCATCATATTTCACCAGAAAGCATCTTTTCGCTTCCTCCAACGGGAATAAACGGCAAACACACTTACCAGAGGTGTGTCTCCTCTCTCCTGCATGGCTGACATGTACCTTCCCGTCCTCCTGCCAAACCTTACCTGCACCGTTTTCCTTCCCCGAGCCTCAGG